GTTGTTGCAAATGGCAAGATTTCATTCTTTTTTATGGAAGAGTAATATTCCATTGTACATATGTACCACATCTTCATCCGTTCAGCTATCAGTGGACACTTGGGCTGCTTCCATATCTTGGCTATTGTAAACAATGCTGCAGTAAACATCGGGGTGCATATATCTTTCTTAATTTTTTGTATTCTTTGGGTAAACACCCAGTAATACTATTACTGGATCCTCTGGTAATTCTATTTTTAACTTTTTGAGGAACCTCCATAGTCTTTTCCACAGTGGCTGTACCAGTTTGCTTTCCTACCAAGAGTATACGAGGGTTCCTTTTTCTCCACATCCTCGCCTCAACACCTGCTGTTTTTTCTGTCTTCAATTGTATCCATTCTGACAGGGTGAGCTGATATCTCAGTGTAGTTGTGATTGGCATTTCCCTGATGACAAGTGATGTTGAACATCTTTTCATGTGTCTTTCGGTCATCTGTATGTCGTCTTCATGTCTTCTGCCCATTTTTAATTGGATTGTTTTTTTGGTGTTGAGTTGTATAAGTGCTGTATGTATTTTGGATACTAACCCCTTATGGGATATGTCATTTGCATATATCTGCTCCCATTCAGTAGGTTGTCTGTCTTTTTGTTTTGTTGGTTGTTTCCTTCACCATCAGAAGCTTTTAATTTTGATGTAGTCCCAATAGTTTATTTTTGCTTTTGTTTTCCTTGCCTTAGGAGACATACTGCAGGATCTTTTTAAATGCAGATTTGGGTTCATTAGGTCTGGTGGGACCTAAGATCCCCATTTCTTTAATATTTATTTATTTATTTGACAGAGAGAGAGAGAGAGTGAGAGAGGGAACACAAGCGGGGGAACAGCAGGCAGAGGGAGAGGGAGAAGCAGGCTCCCTGCTGAGCAAGGAGCCCGATATGGGACTTGATCCCAGGACCCTGGGACCATGACCTGAGCCGAAGGCAGACGCTTAACCGACTGAGCCATGCAGGCGCCCCTAAGATCCCCATTTCTAGCTTCTGGGTTGGTAGGTCTTGCAAGTCCACAGAGCTCACCTAGAGTAGCAAGAATCTAGACCAGGTATCTGGTTCACCCAGGGTGAATGGAATCAGCATTTCCTGGGGGGACAGTTTCTCAGCTACCTTGTCAAGTAAAAGCATGCATTCGGTGGTGGTTTTATTTCTGGGCGAGTAGCCTCTAGTGAGCTAAGAAAAAGTTGCTTTCCCGATTTTAAGGTATAGGAACAGGTCCAATATTTTCCTAACTCAAAGCGATCCAGCACCCTATTGTTGCATAACAAATTACTCCCACATTTAGTGGCTTAAAAGAGCCACTTTATTTTGCTCATGTTTTTGTAGGGCGGGATTTCAGCAAAGGCTTGGCTGGGTGGTTCTTGCTAGGGGTCTCTCAAATGGCTGTACTCAGCTGTTGACTGGGGCTGCCATCATCTGAAGCCCCAGTTGGGCTGGGGGTCCCAGATGGTGCCCTGGCATCTGGCTTGCAGTGGGAGCTCAGCGTGGGGGTGGGGTGAGACGACACTGCAGCGCCTACCTGTGGCCTCTCCTTGTTGCACGGGCTTCCGAAAGCGTGGCAGCTGCATTACAGGAGTGTGCGTCCTAGGAGGAGGCATTTGGAGAGTTAGCAATCTTGACAGAAGCCTCAAGGCTTTTTGCGCCCTAGCCTTGGAAGTGCCGCAGTGTCGCTAATACCACATTCTCTTTGTTACGAGCAAGTCATCCCAGGGGACAGGGATTGTGCCCATCTTCAATTGGCCCTGACTCGATCTTCAGATTGAACAGCCTGGTGGTATTCTCTTTGCCCCGGCAGCACAGGTGGAAGACCACGTGTGACTCTTCATCCACGCAGGTCCCTTGATCTGCTCTGCTGATGGCTCAACAAGGGAGAGCCACGGCAGAGGAGGCCAGGGCATTCATCCTGAGAGAAAGATGCTCAGAAATGGCCTAAGCACATGCACTGGGCTTTTGCACTCTAATTCAGGTCTCTTTTAAAAGTCAAAAGTCACTTTAAATGAAGCCAGAGATATCGAGGGCATGAATCAAACTTCACAGCGTGCTCTGCTTTGCTTGTCAGAGTACATGTCAAAACCGTCCAGCAAAGCTGGACGAAAGGACGGTGCACAAATGAAGTAGACGGTCGGGTCCCCGGTCCTCATCTTTCTGCCAGTACAGCCCTACTACCGCTGAGGTTCCTTCATTAACATGTGCTTGGCTGTGGCTTAAAATAGCTCCAGAAGCAAACACTGCAATTCGGAAAAGCATGACAAAAAGGTTCTCTGAGTGCGCTCATTACTGAATATTTTTAGCAGAGCACTAATTAGGACTTGGAGGAAGCCGGGTGCCTCATTATGTCAGCAGAGGGCTCGGCTTCTTTCAGAGACCTACCTCCCCACCAGCAAAGCAAGTTTGTCCCCGCCTGCAACTTCCAGTCACTCAGCCACGGAGACCTCACTCTGCGGCTTCACAGAAAGGGTGAGCTCATGTCACCAGTGCCTAAGTGACTTGCTGAAATCTGCTAGTAGCTGGAGGATCTTCTGGACGTTTCACCAGGCAGTAGGGGTGTGGGAAAAATACCTGCCTACTGAAAGATGGGACACAGTGCTCACTAGAAAGCTCCCTGCTGCCCCCACCGAGGTGAGGATGTTGTCTCAGCCCTCCGGCTTGGGACCACTCAGCGTTCCCCCAACCCCCAGAGCCCCCTGCCCAGCTGGCTCGGTTGGGTGCGGTCTAGGTACAGGTGTTGGGATGTTCGCACCCTCTGCCTTCGCTTTGGTCTTCTGTGTTCGAGTCCATATTCTCAGAAGGTGATAGGAGTAGTTTCAGACCTAGTGGTAAATGCCAGCTCTGTGCTCCGAGCCACAGAACATTCGAAAGCGGGTGCTTTGTCTCACACACGGGCAGTGGCAACCTGCTGCTGCTACATGTGCAGCAGACGCCGGGGGCCCGCTCAGGGCGCCACCCCAGAGGGGGCCGCAACACGGACAAGTCCACCGAGGGCTAACGAATTACAATCGGATTGGGAAAGGCACTTAGAGTCAGTAGTCCTCTTACAGTGCCCGCTTGCCACCCGGGGCTGAGAATCTAAAGGAGAATAATGCAGGAGCAGTTCCTTCCCTCATGCAGCTTATTGTCAAGTGGGGAGGGCAGGTACTGAAGAAGCTGTTTTATAAAGACCTTGGAATAGTTGAAGGAAAAGAGCGCAGTGGACCATGGGAGGGAATAAGAAGCCAGAAGAGCTGGCCCAGGGGTTGAGAGATTTCTTTGAGGAAGTGACGCTAAAGGTGAAACCCAATGAATGACCAAGAGTTAGCCAGGTAGAGAGCGTGTTTGTGGCACAGGGAGGGGACGGGGCCTGCCCTCTCAGGACGCTGAAGACCAGTGTGGTGGGGCTCAGGCAGGCTCAGTTTGTTGCCCAGCTCCAGAGAATCCAATGAGAATGGGGCCCCTTACAGTGGTGGAGCCCAGGGGCCTTGGCTTAGGCAGTGAGGTTGGGGAGCAGGTCTGCGATGAGACTGGAGAGCGTGCAGGGAAGGGGTAAAGCAAGCCGCTGCAGGGCCCAGGTATGGATTTGGATCTGAATCCTGAGGACCGGAGAAAGCCAGTGAAAGATGGTGGGCAGCCCTCTGATTTCTGTTTTGAAAGACTGCTCTGTGGCTCCTGCTATGTGTAGACAGGGTTGAGGGAATAAAAATCAACATGGCCGGAGACTGGTTTTGAGGCTCTTGATATAATCCTTGAACTAGATGGTGTTCGATGACTTTAGGTGGAGGATGGAGAAAAGCAGGTGAATCGGGGAGCCTTGTAGGAGGTAGACTGGTGAGTGGAAGGAGATTGATTGGACATGGGGAGTGACGGAGAAGGAAGTGGCACAGATGAGCCCAAGGTCATCTTGTCCGGTCAGCTCATTTCTCAGTTTTGGACATGGAGGTTAAGTAACTTGACTTCTGCGGTGTGAGTCTTGCCCAGGTCTCCAAACTGAGAACCCAGCACCCTTGTCCCTAGGCCCTGTCCGTCATGCCATCCCAGCCCTGAGCTCTCTGAATGGCCATAATCATACTGGGTACAAAGACCTCACTTGCCAACATGTCGTTTCAGTTGACGACAGGTGTAAGCATTAACCACACCCTTGCCTTGATAACATGTGTCACCTCTTGTGGCCCCGTGTCAGTGCGCCCAAATGCAGCTTTGAGGACGCTGAGGAAGGTCTATTAGAACTTGGCATCCTCTGTGCTTATTTTTACTCAGTCGCACGTGTTCTAGATGAAAGGGTCCTGAGTGATGAAACCACCATCCAGAGTAGACTTCTGTGAGGGAGATAAAATCATCTAGCATCCCAAAGGCATGTCTTCAAATGGGAGATGACGAGATAGTACCTTTTGCGTCTTTTCCTTAACCAAACGTGATGCAGACTTCCTTAGGGAAGCAGAGGACTTGCCTGCCACGCTGGTGACTCTCTAGTCACTTATTCATTTAATTTGCATTTATCGAGCCCCTTCCATGTGCCAGAAAAAGGCACTGAGCTGGGGGCTGGCTGTTGAGGCATGATCTCTACTTTGAAAATGTTCCCTTTTGACAAGGAGACAGGTATTTAAAATGCGTTTGTTAATGGAAGACGCGTTTGTGTCCTCGAGGCTGTGGCTTCTGCTTGGTGATGTCGGGAAGGACTTGCCAGGGACAACACCTTGAAGCTGGGCCCTGCAGGAGGAGGGGGAAGGCTGCAGCTGGTCTAGGCAGGGAAGAGGGATCCGAGGCAGAAAAGAAGGCCGTGGCCCGAACGAATGCCAGGAGCGCCCAGGGCCAGGGTGGCGGACAGGCAGGAAGCGCACGGAGCTGAGCCCGGCCCAGCCAGCTGGCGCCACATGCAGAAGCTGCACTCTCACACCCGGGAGCCGCCGCTCTGTCCTGGAAACGAGAGCTCTTGCGGAAAATGGGGCAGCTGAGACCATCTCACTTTTTTTCTCTTTATCTCCTCTTTACTCTTCGAACAGGAATGTTTGTTCCAACTCAGAGAACGGAAGGCATCTCAACATCAGACATCATCACCAGAATCGTCCGTGACTATGATGTTTATGCCCGACGCAACCTCCAGAGAGGGTACACCGCCAAGGAGCTAAATGTCAGCTTTATAAATGTAAGTGTGCCCCCCTCTCCCCCCGCCCCGGGTCCTCCTCCAACCACCACACACACCAGCACTGCCGCCGTTTGTTGAGTGCTTGCTGTATGCCTCACAGTGTTCTTTTGTTTTAATTTAAATTCCAGCGCCACGCAGTCCACATAATGACCCAGTGATGTATTAGCCCCATTTTACAGATGGAGAAACCAGTGTCCAAAGGGCTAACATAAGTCGAGCAAAGCCTATGGTAGTGAGCTCCACGTTTTATAAAGGAGCTGCCTCCCTTCCTCTTGCTCCAACCTCCGTTTTCGAGAGTTCTCAGACTTAACTAAAGGGTGTTTGGGAGATCTGCCGTCCTGAAAGGAAGCATCGTCTTCTGCTCAAAGGGAAGGAAGGCAGGCAGAGGCAATGAAAAGCTAAACCCAGAGAAAATGAGTTTTAAATTTTTTCGTTTTATTAAGGCCTTACAGATGCTCATTAGAAACCTTAATAGCCATTTCTTTTTATTGTCCAGAGAGATTACAGCTGCTTAAAGCCTAAAGTCTTTGGCTTCCTTTTGCATTCGTGCCGTATTGTTCCCACAGACCTGCTGTTAGTTTAATAATAGAGCAACTGTTAAAACAATCTTTAAAACAAGCAAAACAGGCTGTTACAAAGCTAAGAGGGCAGTTCACCTCCAGTCCACCAGCCAGAGGTGATGTTAGCGTGTCTGGACAACTGTATTTGCCTGGACTCCGAGGAGGTGACAAAGTTGATTAAAACAGGAACCCTTCATCTATACAGAATTTCAGTCCCCTCCAGTAGGTTTTCAAAGAGTGATTTTTCTACAAAACTAGATGCTTATGATTATGTGCAGCCATAACTCTCCAGCAGCTTAACCACATCGATCCTCGGTGCCTTCTAGATGATGAGGGGCTTATTAATTGTCCACCAGTGGTTATTCCGTGGCTTCACACAAGTCGGGCAACAAAACAGAAGATGTTGGGTTCAAGTGGCACCAGAACAAGTGGCTGAAAAGAATTCCATCAAAGTGATTATTTGGTATCTTATAGAGAATAAAGCCCTGGTTATTTCAATAATTTAAACTGTCTGTTCTTTTAAATTGAATCCAGTCAGCCATCCAAGCATGTTAAACCATTTCCAAAAGTTATCGCTCATTCTCTCCTAATGGCCTTTAGCTAAGCCGCTTAGCTCAAGAAACCGTGTAGTCAACACGGACATGCTCACTGCCTTTCCGTGCCAACAGGCTGGCTGCCACTCACAGACAGGGTCGAATGTGCCGGATGGGCACATCGATGAAGCACAGAGCCTCAGAGGAGGCAGGAACTTGCCAGTGGCCAGTCACCCAGTCCAAGTCCCGCCGCTTAGACACGAGTGACACTGTGCTCAGAGGGGGCCTGGCCGAGGCCCCTCAGGCAGAGTGGAGGTGGTGGCCGGTTGCTCTGGCCCAGGCTGGCCCTGACAGCGGCACGTTACCCGGAGCTCACACCCCACCCTGAGGCTGCAGTCCAGTTTGGAAGGTCTGAATCTGGGAATCCTGCTCCAGTTTGGCAATATTTCAGGTGTCTCAAGAAAATTCTGAGATAGGAACTTCAGTCCCGTATACTGAAGGAAAAAACCTTATTGCCCTGTGAGGAGAAAATATATCATGACTTCATGGAGGGGAAGACCCTCCATGTCACGCAATTTTCGTGGTTTGATAGCACTCTCATCAGGTAACACGAGGAAAGGCTTACGCTGCTTCATCGGAATCAAACAGCCAACACACACTGCGCTTTTACTTTTAAAATGCCAGGCTTTGTGCCAAGCACTTCACGTGCGTAATCTGACCTAATTGTTACAGCAACTTGATGGGGTAGGGATGATAATTATCCCCATCTTACAGAGGAAGAAACTGAAGTTTAGAGATGGCCCGTGACTTGCCCAACATACAAGGCCTTTCACGCACACGGGAACAGCACTGCTGCATAAGGGCTATAAGAAGGACAAAAATCTCAGTCCAGAGAAGCTATCAGGACAAAAGCTGTCTTCATCACCAAGGAAATGGATGCAGTTCAGTTAGCTTAATGGAAAATATCATTGCAATGAAAATTACAGTGTCACACATGGCTTTTAGGGCCCAGCCAGTGGCCGATTTCAACGAGTACTGGCTTTAACAGTGTCCCAGTAAAACTGAGAACTTGGGTGGCTTCTGAGTGACCATTCTATGGACAATCCATACTTTTGTCTAAATCCCAGGAGAATTGGGGGGGGGGTGTTTGTCCAATAGCTACCTGTAATAAACAGTAAATATGTATTTTTGGTTCTTATATAAGTGACTTCAACTCTGATGTTTACAAAAAAGAGAATATTAAAATCACTTGTATTTCATTTTACATATCCAAGTAGACTCATGACAAACGACTTTTCTTACAAGAGATGTGCCTCCCGTCAATCTAGCCCTTGGAAATAGCAACATCCTGACTCTTCAGGTTAAGAACAAACACAAGTTGAAATAAAGTGACCATTAGTGTGAATGACTGGTCTCTCTCATGCCTTCTGGGATAAATCTCTTTTTTCTCTTTTCATTTTTGACCAGGAAAAGAAGTACCGCTTCCAAAACCAGGTAGACAAGATGAAGGAAAAGGTCAAGAATGTCGAGGAGAGATCAAAGGAATTTGTCAACAGAGTGGAAGAAAAGAGTCATGATCTAATTCAGAAGTGGGAAGAGAAGTCGAGGGAATTCATTGGCAACTTCCTAGAGCTGTTTGGGCCTGACGGCGCATGGGTATGTAATTATTTCACTTGGCCCTGCAGTGATGGACGTTTTTGCTTTCTCTTCATTTTCATGGCTCCACTCAAGGGTGTCCCTTATCTCAGTCCAACATGGGCATCAGCCTGAGTAGCTTCAAGTCCATGTCATTTATTTAGTTTCGGCTTTATCCCTCAATAAGGCACCCGATAGCACCCAAAGCCAGTTCTGCTGTTTCTATTTCTTGTCCAGACCTTGAAGCCATTTGGTAATTGTTGAATGTCTGTTACTGCGGAGGTTGGTTCTTTAGCTCATCGTAGTCTTTCAGTTGGAAATGAGGCAAAGCTTTGCAGGTGAGAGTCAAGTGGGTCAGTGGTGTCATGGCATTTGTGTTGTGAGATAAAGCTAATGGGCTCTTGGATCCACCAGAGGAGAAGAGGGCAACAGAAACCCAGCTGCCTTGGCCAGCTTTTTGGTCAGGAACCTTCCTCTTCCATTGCATGTAAGAGAGAGAGAAAGAAGAGGTAGGATTTTGCCCTGCATCTGTGGCTGTCATGCCCCGATTTTCCCGTTTTTCCATGGTATATAGGTGTTGGGATAAAGTACCCAAGTCTTAGGGAACTGAGACCATGATCTAAATCTTAAAACAGAGGAAGTGTAGAGGGTCTCTTCTAAACTCTATTGACAATTCTGAGTGGAAGCTATGAAAAGAGAAATTTCTGGAAACCACCTCATACTCCATTGGTATTTCTATTGTGCATGTACTTCGAGAGTAAAGAAGCAGTATTGTCAAAGCATTAATGAGGGTTCTATCAAAGAGATCTTTTAAAGCTAGCCTTCCTTTTTAAAACCAAACGAAGCGATTCCATTTGATTTCCTTGATTTTAAGTAGCCTAGATTTTCTATTATGACATGAGAAGTCTCTAACAAAATCCACTTCGGCTTAATTATTTTATTGATGGGTTGTCACTGCTGCCTCTGCTCATTTGAGCTGGTTCATTATAGGATTATCTAAAAGTAAAACACTCAATTAGTAATAGAAAAAGAACAATGTTTGAGAAGTTGGAAGAGATGCTTTGCTTCAAGTCTAGTAGCCTCTAAATGATTATAGAGGTGGGTGTTGTAGGCCAATCAGGTCCTACTGGCTGAGTCTGAGAGGGGTAGAGGGTTTGCAAGGGGCTGCTTGAGCTTTCAATGACTTTTAGAAAGAGCTAGCAATAGTGGAGGAGCCAAGTGCTGGGTTCCTTTTCACTCTCCATGTGGGCCTGTTCAAGTTTTCGGCTCAAATCAGTTTAATTCACGGGCCATTTATTCATGTGCTTGTATTTGCACAGTGCTAGGAAGAACGTGAAGAGAAGGTGCAGAACTTGGTCTCTGGGATTCCATGGCATCTATAACAAAGTGTAGAATTTCCCGTTAGTGTGTACTTTAATAGTTCACATTTTCACAACCTATGTTCAGGGGCTGGACAAACAGCTAGTGGGGTTTGTTTTTTTTTTTAATGAAACCATGTGGGTATTCACTTCCTTATAGGGATTCAGAAATGTGTCCCTGGTATTGTAACTCAAGGGGGTGGATATTTTCTCCACTTGGAGTGAGCATAGGCAGGGAAGGAAGAGAATGTCTATGATTTATAGATTTTAGTTGTTTCAGGCTCCCAGTGAAGGTGAAATAGTAGCTGGAATTGTTCTAGAGGAGTCTGGTGACAGCTAGCTGTGGTGATTTTTAAGAAATGAAACCCAGTTTCGAGTCTGGAGGTTTTTCTTTTTAAAACTTGCTATTAGTGTCAAAACTGTTATTAACATTAATTTACCATATCAGCCAGACTTAGACATTGCTTTTTTTCTGTTGACATTAAAAGTACAGGAATAGTTACAAGGATGTTAAACGCCAAGATAAGTAATTTGCTTTTCATGAATATGCTATTATTATAATAATTCTTTATTTGTGGATTTGGGACTAGAACTCATTTCTTAAAATAGAGGATCTGCATTACCTGCAAATACAGTACTGTTACAAATTACCCCAACTTGGAGAAGTACAAAATAGAAGGATTTAAAGTACAGAACTTGGTATGACAGAATTGGTATGCAGCTCTGTATGTAGCTTTTTATAGTGGGTATTCCATAAATGTGTCTGGATCGAATAGATTCATGGGTGTGGGAGAGAGACCTATTCACAGAACCTTCTAGCGTCTGCAATGATGAGGTTTAATCCTCTGAATTTAGCTCTATATCACATATTTAGTTTAGTTTGATACAGATATATACCTTTAGCCTTTTATTGCTTATGGTGCTTGGTTCAACTTGGGCCTGGATCAAATTCAGTTGGCAGAATGGGTTTGCTGGGCCTTCCACAACATTCTAAAATTTCTTTCCAGGAGGGCATGACCTCCAGTTTGCCATGTGCACACCACTGGCCACTGTTACTCCCTGCCACCTCCTCCAGCCTGACCTTTCTGCTGCCCACCTGGACGCAGTAGTTGTGTTTGCTCCCTACAGTAGAGTCTTATCTTCTCCCCCAAGGGACCTCATGCTATGAAGAACTGTGATCAAAAATCCACATCCTTTCATTCCAGCAGAGTGCGAAGTGGTGGTGATGACCATGTTGTTATAGTTTAGAAGTTGTATATCAGGTTAAAACTTTTCCAAAGCCTTTTTATATCTACTTTACCCATTTTAACCAAACAATGAAAGTATTGTAGCTGTGTTCTAAAGTAACAAAGGCCTAGGAAAACTATGAAACTTTTGGAGTTTGGAGGTACTGGGATGGAGCCTGGGCCCAAGCCTCTTTCTCCTGACCAGCATTGTATCACCCACCATAGGACTGTCCCTTGGAGGCACTTTCCTTCACCCCGCTTGGGTTAGGGTATGGAATTGTGGAGAAACAGATGTACCAAAACTGCTCTAAGGCTCTGTGACAAAGCCCGTTGCCAAAATGCCACTTCAGGCTGGCTCATCTAGATTCAGGACAGGTAGTGTCAGCTTGCCTCTTAAGCAAGCAGAAATCATGGTGTCCCTGGTGATATTATCTATTGGCGAGTAACAAATTACCCCCAAATTAGTGACTTAAAAACAAATATTACTTCACACAGTTTCTGCAAGTCAGGAAGCAGCTTAGCTAGGTGGTTATCATTCAGGGTCTCTCATGATGTTGCAGTCGAGAGGTCAGCTGGGGCTGGAGGATCCTCTTCTGCATTTTGTGACTGGGAACGAGGTACCTCAATTCCTCCCCGCGTTGGGCCTTTGCACAGGCTGCCCGAGTGTCTTCATGACAAAGAATCTGGCTTCCCCCTGAATAAGTGATAGAGTGAGTATTCAAGAGAAAAGCTATAGTCTTTTAAGACTAATACCTGAAGTGACAATCCCTTTATGCCATATTGTAGTGGTCACACAGACAATTGGTGGATATTGTGGGAAGATACCACATGAGGATGTGGATAAATCCAGGAGGTGGGGCCTTGGGGGGGCATCATTGCTATGAGAGAGAATATATTCCCAGGTATTCAGTCTGATGGGAGGATTATCAGAGCTTAAAAGGTTGGTTTTTCATTTTCCCACCTATAGCTTTACTTATTTAACTACTTGATCCATTTTTTTTTTTTGTGCTTGATTCTTGTGACTAGTCTTCACTCACACTCAGAAGACAGCCTGTAACCCAACCACAGCTTCCAAGGGAAGCCTTCCCCACAGAGACTTAGTATTACCTCTCTTTGTCTTTCAGAGACAAACCTTCCAGACTATCCTCAAGGGAGAGGCTTTAAAGGAGCTGAATTCTGAAGCTCTGTTGCCATGTTGGAGGCAATGCTATTCATTTCCAAGGGATTCAGGTTCATGGAGCCAGGATCAGGGGATGCTAAATCAGCTTTTGGGGTAGGGCCTTCCTAGTGAAACTTGGTTATTTTTGTTCGAAGTGTCAGACACATTCCTTTTAAACATTGTGCCCTAGCCACATAGGCTACATTTTAAAAACATTTAGTATCATTTTTAATGATCTGCCACTGTAGTCCTTTTTTTTTAAGATTTTTTTTATTTATTTGACAGAGAGAGACATAGCGAGAGAGGGAACACAAGCGGGGGAGTGGGAGAAGGAGAAGCAGGCTTCCCACAGAGCAGGGAGCCCGATGCGGGGCTCGATTCCAGGGATCATGACCTGAGCCGAAGGCAGCCACTTAACGACTGAGCCACCCAGGTGCCCCTGCCACTGTAGTCCTTAATTGACTTTGAACCATAGACTTGTTTCCCATTTGAAATGAAAATGCATTTATTGTGTTTTACAACATGAACATAGACCTTTTCCTGGAGCACCAAGAGAGAATAACCTTGGGTCAGGTCCAAGTTTTTAGTTCATCCCGGACCACAAACACCCCCGGCCCCAATCCAATCAGTCGGGTGGATCCGTATGCAAACAAAACAGGCATTTGCATCTAATACAGGAGATACCGTTTTTAAAAAAGCTTGATGATGTGTTTTTCAAAAATAACAGATTTACGTGATGTGAGGTCCACTACTAATTTTTTCAAACTGTGATAAAATGTACCTAACAAAATTAGCATTTTAGCCATTTTAAGCGTACCATTCAGTGGCGTTAAATATATTCATAGTTGTGCAACCATCACCACTATCCATTTCCAGAACTTCTGCATTATCCCATATTGCAATTCTGTACTTATTATATAATCTGCCCCCCCCACCAGTCCCTGGGAATCCCCCTTCTAACTTTCTGTATCTGTGAGCTTGACTACTTACTCTAGTGGAGTCCTACAGTGTTTGTCCTTTTATCTGGCTAATTTCATTTAACATAATGTCTTCAAGGTTGAACCAATATTGTAGCATGTATCAGAATTTCATTCCTCTTTAAAGCTGAATAATACCTCTTTGTGAAAGAATTTTATTTGCTTATCTTAAATCACTGGCCTGAGAGGCAGGCATCTAAATGAACACACAGCTTAGGAGCCTGCTGGGCTAGTCTCTAGGGACAGAGGCTGGCAGATGCCATCTTTCACTTTCCCTTTACCTCACTCCAGCATACTGGCA